GTGACAGCTCAAGCTTGGCTTGTACAAATTAAAGGCTTCTCCTGGCAGTGAGAAGTGGTCCAGGCTTAGTGCTCTCTCAACACCAGGGCCAGCCTACACCTGCGACAAGCGATGGACATTATCACAAGAGAGGGAGGAATGAGCCTGGCATTCCTGCCTTTCCTGCTGATTTGGAGTTTGTCCTTGGAGATCTCACCAGTAACCTCATCTTATCAGCTCTTGCCATCTTCCGATCATGTAACACCCAGACAGATCTAGTGCTCCCTGGGTCATGGCGCTAAGGATATTATTTTGGTTTTAAAAGTGTCTTCTCTGAGATTGATCAGATGAATACCAAATTTACCTAAATACTCCACATTAAGTAGGAAATGGGGAAAGCAGTGTGTCCTAAAATGAGGGGGAAGGCAGGTTATTTTGGTTTAGCGTCTGCCCAGGAAGGCCAAGTGGTGAGATAGCTCTAATGTTGTCTAACATGGAAACCAAAGGGGTGAAGAAACCTTTGGAATGGCAAAGGTGGGTGCAGCTTCAGATCCCTGCTCCTGCACCTAGCAACAAGCCAAGTCTGCTTTAGTCCATTTTAAGTCTCTATCATCAAAACTAATGTGATTTCACTTCTCTGCCTCTTGGCTCTAGTTTGCTCACTAGATAAAGTCCAAACTTCCCTGACCCAGGTAAGATGTCCCGTCTCTGACTCCCCTGGGAGTCACTGCTGCCTTTGGGCTCTCGTAGACTTCACTGGGAACTCTATATTTGTGAATTCAGCTACCCACTAAAATTTATATGTAACCCCAAATCAATATTTGCAGTGACTTCATGGTCATTTGTGGACATTTGCAGAGCGTCAGAAATTGGAGTCACTGATGTGTGTGCACATTCCCAGCTGAGGTTGAACAATGTCACCTCTGCCTTCTTGTTTCAGCTCTCATACTTTTTATGGCCATGTTTATTTATTACCATGTTTTTCAAATTTTTGTGCTTTTTGGTGGTAATTTCACTATTTAAATGGCCCCCAGGTGTAGCATTAAAGTGCTGTCTGGTGTTTCTAAGTGCAAGAAGGCAGGGGTATGCCTTATGGAGAAAATATATGTATTAGATGAGCTTCATTTAGGCCTGAGTTATAGGGGCTGTTGGCTGTGAGTTCAATGGTAATAAATCAACACTATGGTACCTCCAGAAAAAGGAAGAGGAAATTCACCCATCTGTACATGAGGCTGCTCTGGAAAGTGCTAAAGCGAGACCTATACTATGTGATAAAAAGGTAGAAAAATGGCTAAATTTGTGAATTTATGAGATGACAACTGATATTTTAAAAGTGTGTTAAAAAACAGCATTGTTATGAGGTTGAAAGCCCAAGGATTTACAGTCCCGTTACCCAGGGTCAGAGAAATGTTAAACCCTTCTCGGCTAGGGTTTTATTATAAAGAAATACTGCAGATGACTTATTTGTAAGAAATATATTAATAAATAAGGTGTCTTTATACAGAAACACAATAAAAAGATCATGTAGTGACGGTCATATTGTGACCAGAGGCTCACAGGAACCTAACCCTGTATTTCCCCTAGGAGCAATGGTTCCGTATTCACAAATGCGGTGTTCACATGACTGTAGAACAGAACTACCGTGAATAATGAGAATCAACTGTATATCACTGTTGCTGCTCCACACTATGTCTTCTCTGTACCAGCACCTCTGCCTGCCAGTGTCCCACTCCTGTTCAATGTTAAATACAAGTGTGTCGAATAAATAAATGTCTTGTGCAGGAAAGCTAGCTTCAGAGATGCAGTGTTACTTGGAATTGTGAGCCTCCACTGTGCATGAGGAGGATGCGGGCTAGGAGTCATCCAGGTGGCCTCATGGGTAGGATTGTTAGCATGGAAGTAAACACTACCTTTAAGAAAAATCTACAAAGGATGTCGTCTGCCTAAGGAATGTCAAAGTTGCACATTGTCAGCTGTTCAAACTTCACGGCTTTGCAAAATTACATGCCGCAAGGTCAGGTATTTGAACTCTTTGCGCACTCAGCACGTATTGATTTTGCTTTTGAGTCTGCATGAGACATTCCTCTTGGCTGGGGTCTATTTTATTCTTTTATCTTATTTTCCTGAGAATAAGTTACATGACTAGTTTTTCTGTGACCAAATATCAAAACACAGAAGTAGAACAGTTTCATATCTAAGAATTTCATGAAATGTGTTTGGAATCAAATTTGAGTTCATATGATCCATGTACCCAGGACAATATTTGTAGCCTTGTGGCTGCCAGAATGACAACCATGTTCTCTTCTTTGATATAGGAGAGGAAAAGGGGCCACTGAATTCCTCCTTTGCCTACAATGCAAGTAGAACTTTCAAGTAATGGGAGAAGGTCTGGGTGAGATGAGCAGAGAGCAGAGTTGGGGTAATTTTTATGGGGGCATATCATTTTTTGGGCCCCTGTGGTTTTGGAAGCCTGTAGCTGAGAATGTTTGGGAGCTCCTGCTTATTTAGTTAGGGGTTATATTTGTTGTGTTTTAGAAATAAAGCTCAGAGAGAACAAGTACCAGGATGGAAGGGAAGAGGTTCAGAGTCATTTGTGGCTACTTTTTATGGTCTAGTGGTGCAGCTGTAAGTCATTTCCTCAAATCTCGATTTCTTGTCCACTCAACAAAAATAAAATGTAGCTAACGAGTTCACTAAATCTTTGAAAAAAACATACTATAAATGTGCTTTTGTAACTTTCAGATTTAAGAACTATAAAATGTAAAAAAAACAAAACCCAATCCCTGCCCATTACTTTAATGCCTTAGACCCAGGTTAAGGTAGCCAGACTGTTAGTGAATGTCTATTGATAACAACATCCTTGTATTTGAAGACAGTATTGACTACAAGTAGTACAAAGGAGTCAAGGTCATGGCAAGCTATCCTAGAGAGAGATCTTCCTCAAGAAACAGATTTTCCACTCACAGGATGAATCATGAAAATCAACATCTATTTTATAGAAAATAGGAAATATTTAATATATATAAATTTATTTGCCTTGGCAATTATTTATTTACAATTAATGATTGATACCAACAAATGAGGTAAAAATATACATGAGGTATAAATATAATATTTAAATGCAATATTATACTTTATTTTCATTGGCAAGATAACAATGAATAAAACACTGTGGTATGACAAATAAACTTGATGCATCTTTTTTCTCCTTATTTTCCCTTTTCCTTTTTTTTTTTTTAAAGATGCACTGTGTTGTTATGCAGCAGTGATGTGATTAGTATGTGCATAAAAATTTAAAGATTCAGGTAATTTGAAGAGGAGGGAGTCAGAAATACAATCCTACTTGTTTTTATTTTAAGCATGCTCTAGATCCTTGTTTCTCAGAGTGTGGGTTTCTGGCCAGCAGCGCAGCATTCCTGAGGCTCATGAGAAATGCAGGATGTCAGGCCCACCTCAGACCGCCTGAATCAAGGCTGCATTCTACAAGCTCCCCGGGCGATTCGGTGCATGTTAAAGTTAAACTCGGAGAAGCAGTGCTGCTTTGGGTGATACAGTGCCATTCGTCCTTGTGTGCCTATCGTATTTCCCAAACATGTAGGGTCCCATCTCTGGAGCAGGACCAGTGTTTAGCTAGATTAAACTTCACTAATGATCTTGTCGGTGCGTATAAAGTAATCCAGCATATGTGGTTAAATTTAAGATGTTACGGCCAAAGTGAATTTGTTTTGCTCCCAGAGCATTGCCCAAATGGTAAATTACTGATTTGCTGCCACCTTCTAAGGTAGGCATGAGAATGAAAAATTCCTAGGTCATAATTCAAACAGTATGATTTTTCTCGCACCATACCAAACTCATATGCAGCTTTTTTATTCTTCTCAATAAAATAATTGCACATCGCTGATAACAGAAAATATTACATAAATGCATATGATACAAAAAAATACCTGAAAACACTCCTTTGTTTTTCTATTTTTCCTCCAACATCAGTTGCTAAATCAGATATCAAACTGTTACGGACAACCAAAAAAAAAATCTCTCTCCCTGAAACCAAACGCAATAAGTTATCCTTCTCTCTATAGTTGTTGAAATACAATAAAAAACAACTTAAATTCAACAGCAATGGGTTAAGGAGAGTCAATTGGCTTAGTCTGTACAATAATAAATAAGGCCGGGTCAAATGCATAGGTAGCCTGAAATCGCTAAGGAAGAAACATGGAATTAATCAACCTGATTATATTTTCTAAAACTAATTAAAGAACATAGTTTTCGTCTTATGTTAGTTAAAAACCCTGTCTTTCAAATTGCAAAACTTCAATGAATTATATTTTAAGAGCATAATACATAGCAAAATATGAATTCCCTGAAGCTGTGATGGTCCAGACTCTTGAACCGAATGACCATCGTCTCCCTCTGTGTGGTGTCCAGATTTACATTCAGTGCAATACATTGGTAAGAAAATGCCAATTCACTGTGACCAAATGGGCCACTGGTCAAATACAAGGACATTTAACAACATTATAAAATGTATTTATGAAAACTTGGGACAACACAGAGGCTCCCTTTGGCTGTGAATACGTAAAGGCTATTACCTTCCGCTCTGCTGGGTGAAATACCACTTCTGTTTCAGTCACTGTTGCTGACTCCAGGGGTCCACCGAGGCCTGACGCCTCACTGAAATTGCACCTGGCTGGGCCCAGTGGCAACTCCTAATCTAGCCTTGAATTTGGTGATGACTTCTCACCCACTGCTTTGCTTTAAAGAGAAGTAAATATCGTTTCCCTGGCTTTCTCCCAACACTCTACTCTCAGGTTTTGAATAACAGAAACAAATTATCGACACAGAAGAACCTTTAAATGGCATTTTCCTTTGGTTAGCAAATCTTTGGTTAGACATCAGGGCATTTTCACACCTCGGTATTAGCAGCAGGTTCTGTGCAGCTTAGAGGACAGTGGGAAGACAGGGCCCAGGGCCACCTGGATAGAACAGTGTGAGGAAAGGACTCCCAGGGTCAGACAAGGTCCTTTTCAAAACACTCAATTCTATATAAAATCGGTATTTTACATATATACAGTAAAGATGGAGATATGCACACATATGTACATATGCTATACATACATTTATTTACAGTTAAGAATGTGCTTCTTAGAAGCCTTTAAATAGTAAATTAGGCAATGCACAAGGAATAATCCATTTAATTTTAAGTAATATAGATAAATGTTCAGATTTTAAAAAATATATTAGTAGGGATATAGCCATCTCCAGGAAGGCTAGGAAAGTTCTCAGAAATTCTCGCGTCTTCAACATCCTGACTTCTCAGTGTTTCCATTTTTAAGCATTAACCACGTCCGTCAGTTCCTCTTCGTCTTGTCCTCTCGCGCACACTCTCTGCCACGAGCATTCGCTGTAGCTTCCTCTTCCCTGAGTTTGAGGTCACACTGCGGAAAACTCAGATTTTAGTTTCTGGACCCTCAGCAATGAGGGGTTGGAAAGAGTTTCTAATCCTGGCAACTTCCGCTGCACACAGATGTCCAAAGCCTTTGCTGTACCATTCGGGGGAGCGGCCTCTGCAGGGAAAGAGAGCAGAAAGGAAATGGGAACATTTTTTTCCCAAATCGCAGCAATTTGTCATGGCAGACGGGGCTGTCCCTGGGCTGTGATGACCAGTGCACTCGCATACAACCTGCTACTTTGAATTCCGGAGGACCTCATTCTGTCATCAGGTCCCTTGAACATGTCTTGGCTGCCCAGTATTCACTCTGTCTGTTCAGTATTCATCGGCCAGGGATGGGGACCCTGTGGCCTTAAGGCCATATGTGACCTTCTTGGTCCTTAAGTGTGTCCTTTTGACTGAATCCAAATTTTACAGAACAAATCCTCTCATTTTTATTAATACATTTTTGTTCATCTTTTATATCTATTTTTTTAAATGAATGTATTTAAAATACCATAGAATAAAATGAGTTTCAATGAAATAATCCTCCCAGATTGACCAGCACAATGAGAACATTCGTAAACCATAAGGGCTAAATTGATGGCTGCTATGCTCATGATTTAGTTCTAACTTCCCCTGCCTGACTGGTGCCACTACTGCACAAGGCTGGTTGGTGAGAGTTTATGGGGGTCAAGTATGCCAGTCTGTTATCAGCTTTTGACAATGGTGCATTATGTTTCTGTTTGAAGTCGAATTTGTGAATAAACAGCTTGACGGTATTTTTTAACTCGGACTGCTTACCAGCCCATGATGTCAAAGAAGACCAAGAGAATGCTGAAGGAAGAAAACACATTTTTAAATGAGGATTGGGAATTACAATACTATCTTATTTCTGCTAAAGATAAGATGATGTGCTTGCTTTGTGATACTGCAATATCAACATTAAAGAGATTCAATGCTCATCAGCATTGTAACACTCATAAGGACCACGAATATTCTAAATTAGAGAGAGAGGCATGAAAGGTTGTACTGCAGAAATTAAAAGATGGAAAGCAAAAGAAAAGACAATTCTTTCAAGCAGCAAAAAGACCCGGAAATAATGCCAATGAAGTAATTTATAAAGTAGCTTATATACTCCGGGGGTAAAAGGGAAGCCATTCAGTGATGTAGAAATTGTGAAAGAATGCATTGTCAAAGTTGTAGGATGCTTACACCCTGGTAACGTTTCAAAGTACAAACAACTGTTTCTTTCAAGGAGAACCATACCTGATCAACAGCATGAATTAGCCTTTAACAGAACAGCTTCATGCAATACTTCAAAAGGAAAATATATATTATTCAATCATTTTGGATGAATCAACTGATACTACAGACTCAGCGCTGGTTTTATACTTCATTCAGGTCACAACAGAGGATTTTCTTTGCTACGAAGAGTTACTTGGTTTGGACATTCTTGTAAACAGAACACATTGTGGTTTATTTTCAGCAACTTTCAAGATAAATGTCATGAAGTTGGACTGAATTTGGTAAATTTAGTGAGTGTATGTACAGATGGTGCACCTTCCATGACAGGAAAACACGAAGGGTTTATGGCACAGATAAAAAAAGTATTAACAGATCCAGATGCCCTCATTTCTTTTCATTGTATCTTGCATCAGCAAAATCTCTGCGCTAAAGCTACTATTTTAAGTGACACTTTGCAACAAGTTATAAGTATTGTTAACTATATTCATGCAGCTGCAACATGGCATCCTCAGTTTTATAACATGCTAAAGTTAAAGGATGAGGTATTCAGTGTGGATTTGCTGTATAATTCTAACATGTGTTGGCTATTGCAGAGATAGGTGTTAGCCAACATTTTATCTCTTCAAGAACAGATAGTTACAAATAGTTTTCATTTTTTGAAATTATTACATATAGTAGTTAGATTTTTACAAAATAATGCACATTTTAAGTATATTTGATTGAAGTTTCTTGAATGAGGCCTTATTTGATTACAGCTAAATTAATGTGGCCTTCCAACTTGAAAAGGTTCCCCACCCCTCTACCAACTCCCTGGGGTAAAATGGGACTGAATCTAGAATTTACTGAGAGCAAACTCAATTTATATCTACCCAGACCAGGGACTCGGTTTAACAACATGAATACCTTGAATGGGTTGGATTTAAGTTAGTTTCTTCTCAAAGAAGGGAAACCAGCGGGGGCTGCAAAAGGGGAAGGCATTAAAGAAGTCCGAGAAGGGAACTCAGATTCGCTGAGCATCTACTCTGTGCCGGGCTATATTACTCGTGTGTGTTTCATGGGAGAGACACAGACACATAACCAGGCATAAAACAGAAAATAAGCAAAGCAAAGGGGCTGCAGGAAAAATGTCTGAATTTTAGGAGAGAAGGAAAGAGGGAAAGAGAGAGGGGAGGCATATGTAATCAGGTATGAAAGCATGTTCATGGGAGAAAAGTATAGTGAAATAAGAAATCAAGGTGACGAACAGGGCCCTGGGGAAAGTGCCGAGAAGCTGGAGACCTGCGCCCGCCGTCTCGGGCATCAGCACTTACTTCAGGTCTGTCCTGCAGATGTGGGTCAGTCTTGACTTGCCAGAGCCACATGGCTCTATCAAGTACTGGGAATCCATCACCACGGCACGCACGCCACCCAGGAGCGGGGCTTCCTCGTGCTCCACGGAGAGCGACACCAGGGTGCACATTCCTTTGGGCAAATCAGTCCTCCAGGTCCTGTAGCAAAACAGCCCGCACCTCAGAGTTATAGCTGAGAGAGAAAGAAAAACCTGAACACAGAGCTAAGGCTCACACTAATATATTCCCGTCAAAAACCTGGGCTTGAATTCCAGTGCCAGTTACTTGGACTAAGCTAACGGTTTCCATAAGCTTGTGGAAAGTTTATACAGCGCAGTTCAAAGCAGGATCTCAGCTCTTGGACTCAGAGGCCAGACATGCTTGCAGCTTTCAGACCTGCACTTGGAACTCCAAACCGGGGCCCTGCTCTGCTGCAGAGGCTCCTACCTATTATGGAAGCGGTGATTTTACAGTTTAGGAATTAGGACTTGCTCCATCAGTTCATTTAGCAGACACCTAGTAAGCACATAGAGGAGCCAGGCTCTGAGAAGCCACCGAGGACACAGAGATACACACAGCCTAGTGGGAAAATCTGACAACTCTCAAAAGGATTCTAAAAACATTGTGGCTAGTGCAGTGATAAGGCTATGCACAGTGGGCTCTGGGAACACACAGGGGACCTGGGGGAGGCATCTGGGAAGGCTTCCTGGAGGAGGTGATGCTCAATCCAAGTCTTCAAGGGCAAGTGAACCAGTGATGCTTAGCTCGAAGAAAACAAAACATATGTGGACCTGCTAATTATCTTCAAATACTTGAGTGGCTCTTGCATGGTAGACAGGATAAACCTGGTTGATTTAACACCAAAAGGCAGAGGAACAGGAAAGCACCTTTCAGTTCAGTGTAGAGACTAGAGCTGTCTACCAATGTGCACTATCCGCAAGTGGACGGGAGTCAGGAGCCATGAGAGCGTCTGTGTGGCTACCTCCAACGTCCCTTTCTACCCAGGGATCTGTAATGACAGACTGTATCATTAGAATTCCCGTTACTTACTGCACAAATCCTATTCCCTCTCTTAGTCGTCTCGGTCATGACTTCACCACGTCCTACCACACCAGGGAGAGAAAACGCCATACATGCCCGACAAGAGCGTGGGAATGACCCAGCCGCGCACAGGTGCTCAGCAACTTCCCAACGGCTGTGACCACCCTCTTGCCACGCACGATGGTGCGATAAATCGTGAAGACTGAAAGTTGTAAAGATTTGTGGGGATAAAATGGGAAAATCTTCAGTAACTCTCTAGCTCCTAAGGAGCTAGTGATGGATGTAAAATGAGAGATAAACATGGCAACCCTGAAAGGTGACCAGCCTCGTACGTTCTGAAACAGGACGCGTCTCAACCCCGTGACTTCCTCACCATACTTGTCGCTTTCCACTCCCTCTTATCACACACAGAAGGAATTCTTATTGGCAGGAATCAGGTCTGGTTCACTGTTAGCCATGTGGGGGGCCTCATGGTTCACGCACCTTCCCCTCAAGTCTCGGATCAAATATCTGTGCAGTGAGACTCAGCCCTGACTATGACATTTAAATGCTGCTCCTTACTCTCTCCCTACCTCACTGTTTCCCCCAGCATAAGTAAGCCCACCCCCCTTTATGATTTATTGACTTTCTCTCCCCAGTAAGATATAAACCCCAAGAGAGTAGGACAGTGGTTTGTTGCATTCACTGCTGTATCTCCAGAGCCTGAGACAGTGTCTGGCACAAGGCAGTGATGGAACGTCACACTAACAAACAGCAGGCTGGGGGGACAGCTGGGAGGATGGAAGGAGGGGGCTCCATGCATAGCCTCCAGCCCTCAGGCTCCGATGGAGGGAGGGAAGAGGCACACTATGTCACGGCTCCAGCCTGAGGCTGCCATCCTGCAAGAACTGTTCAAATGTTCAATTTTCTGTGAGAGTGAAAGTGTGAAGGTTACCTCCAGAAGATGACTAATGTCCCAATAATAAGAGTGGTAATAAGCCACCCTCCTAACTGCCCACATTCTCCACCAGGATCCCAAGGATGCTGCGATAAACACATATATTTAGGGAAAACTGACCTTTAAAAGTCAAGGTTGCAAGGACCAATTCCAGAGGCATAAAGAGGACATGTGAAAAGTAACCTTTAGTTTGCCATCAAAACTAGTTTCATAAAGAAACTCTTCTAAATATACACTTGGGAATTTCCTTAGTGGTTCCCTTTACATAGCTGATCTGTGAGATGAAACAAGGTTTGCCAAGGTTTTCAATAAAAAAAGGATATATCGACCTAATTACATTTTATTTGAGTTCTTTAGTACCCTCGATCCCTGTTCTTGCTCATGCGATACTGCATTTGTACTGTGCAAACTTCCTATTGTCATCTGAGCACCCCACTCCAAGCCCAGAGGGCAGGGGTCTGGAACTCAGCCCACAAATCAATCAGAAGTGACATATCGATGGCAGATGCAAGACTCGCCACGCCCTGAGAGGTCCTGAAATCTGACTCTATGTCCAAGTGTCTCAGCATATTTGGACCTTCAGGGCCGTGCCAAGGTTTCCAAGCACGGTGATTAGTTACGAACATTTGAAGTTACACAGATGAGTTTTGAAGTTATACGTACTCCAAGTCTTGAAAGTTTCACAAACTGAAGACTTGGTTTCCCGGGGAAGAAAGGCAAAATCAGAAGAAAAGCCAGTCAGATTCAGTTTACGTAATTTGGCTGAAAGAGTGACCGGACAAACAGCAGCGATTCTTGGGCCTCTCTTCTGAGGAAATGAGCACTATTTATGGCCTAATAAACTGTGTGCTCCGCCAGGACAGGGGCCACACGAGGGCCCAGGCAGAGCTGTCAACTGGGTGAAAGCAGCAGGAAGTTGCGCATAAAAGACAGCAACGTCAGGCTGCGCTGAGGGAACGAGGACCGGCCTGCCCGGGGTTCCCCGCGGAAGCTGGACTTGGGTGGCAGAACCCCACACAGCGCTCTCCAAAGCTCTCGTCTGCTTTTGGAACAGATTATCATAAACCCTGGAGTTGGGCTTACCTGAGAACCACGAAGTCTCTAGAAGGGTGGGGGGCCATGCTGTTCAACACGTACTGGTAGATTTCTGTTTGTCTGTCCAGGGTTTCCACGACCTTCCACTGCACAAAGTCCTCGTCCCACAGGTGACGCTCTCTCAGCACGCGGTTCAAGACCACCGAGGGGGGAGCTTCCACTTCCACAGACGCCTTCCACAGCTTCAGAGGGTTCCCATCACCCACCTGGGGAAAGACGCCATCAGAAGCTGAAGTGGCCACCCGGGTCTAACAAGCACCTCCCACACTCTGCCAGGCGCTCAAGCACCAGCACTGATGATGTGCATTGAAAGAGCAATGCTGCATACCTCAGGTTAACATTTAAAAAGTGTAATCCTGAAGCTTAAAAGAATAATGATGATGATAAAAATAATAACCACCAATGCACGTGGTGCTTACTGTGTGGCGGGCACCATTCTAACCCATTTGATTCGTAAATGACCTTTCTCTGATAATGGTACTCTTACAGTGTCCACTTTGAAAATGAGGAAACTGAGGCACAGAAAGGTGTGTGACACAGCGAAGGGCAGACAGGACTGGGATCCAGCCGTCTGGCCGCGCAGTCAGCACTCTGGTTATATGCAACAAGGTGGCTGAGTGGTCTCTAGACTGGGTCTTTGAAAGGTACATGTGCCTTAACTGTCCACGTGTGTGCCAAGCCCTGTGGACACAGCAGGCATTTTAAAAGTAAGAATAAATTCCTGGTTGCTAGATGTGACTTTTTGAAGGTGATTTTTTTCCAAGCCCTGAGGTTACCTTTTTGAAAGCGAGGTCTGTATTGTCCATGCTGGAGCACACGACCCATCCTTTGAACTTCTCCTTGGCTTCCTTCTGGAGGCCCTGGATGAGATGCTCCAGGTACGTGTGGAAAGTCGCCCCGCTCTCCTCCAGCTGTGGCCCCAGGTCTTCCAGAGTTGGCACATGGATCTCGGCTTCCATGTATGAGTTACGGGACTGGGCCGCCATCTCATGTGGGACCTGGACCAAGGGACGCAAGAAAGAGCCACACACTGAGACAAAGAAATGCTGAGACTAATAGAAAAAGCAAAGTCATTTCACCAACTAAGGTCTGAGCAACAGGCCGAGGCCCACAGGGATGGAGATGTTTTTCTATGATCAGTGCCAAGGCCAGGAGGGGCCTTCCTGAAGTCAGGAAATACAAATACGTTTCTGAGGCTATATTTATCATTCAGAACATGGAAATGACTTCCCATTCATTCTTTCCATTGCCCTTCCACTTTACTTTTAACGTCTTTGTATTGTTTGGCAAAATGTGGGCTCAGACAACTTCATCCACTGCGAATAGACTTCAAGCATATAGACTTGCTACGGGAAACATCAAATAGGACTTAGGAATGAATAGCTTTACCTTTTTAGCACACTTTTCCCATTGACAAATGCCAGCTTTACCACAAACGGTATGCCAGAAGTCTGGTTTGCTTACTTCTTTGACATACCTGTGGCTGTATTCATAAGCTGTCATTGATTCTCAGCCACAAGGATTGCTCAATATCACACACACTCTCGCACAGATGCTGAACCTAATCAAGTCCCAAGGTAAAATCAAATATAGCATAATTGGCCGACTGACCTTGAACCTGACAATGCCAGGTGCTACAACTGCTTGCATGAAAACCATCCGTATGGTAAGCCCGAGTGTCTTTGTCAAAGCCTCGATTGTATAGCTAGCTAGCTCCTCACATTTCTTGGAGGTGAAGACCAGAGCTATAGAGCGTACCATTGTCAACATAAAGTCAGGAACAAACAGATGGAAACCATAAATGTAGCAACCATCCCAAGCGTCTTATCTAGTTCCAAGGGCTACAAGGGAGGCGGTTAGAGCCTTTTGCTCACCTCAAAAAGTCTGTCGCATTCCATGATCATGTGCGCCAGCCCCTGAGCCGCGGCCAGATTCTCATTGAGGTCCTTTTGATCTGGCTTTCCCGTGGCGTATTTCTTCTGTATGACTCTGTAATTGAATGTGAGTGTGCTAAGCAGATCCCACACCAGAGAGCTTGTCACAATACCGAGCTCATCCCTTTTGTTTTCTGTTCATACCCAGATGCTAGCCAGATCCCAGGCTGTCTCATTTCCAAATAAAAACAATGACCACACATCTTAGATATTCCAAATCGGGCTAACAGTCTGTCAGGTCACAGCAAGAAAAAAAAAAAAAAATCTTGGAAAAATACAAGGGCAGGAAGAACCGTAGGGGGAGGAATGAATCTGTTTTTCCAAAGTTTGAAACCACTTAACTGCAAGCTCCTGTGCTTTGGTCTTATGTTAATGTATAGCCTTTTTATTCAAGATTGTAAAATGCTGCTTTGTGTACTTTTTCCCTCCTTCCCACACAAACAAAACAAAACAAAACACAACTCCTCCAGCTTTCTGGACCACCATCGACATTCTTCAAGGCTACTTTGATCATTCCGTGAACCTGAGCCCCATGAATTAGTGCCTCGGAACACTTTCTGTTTATGAAATGGGGGCCGACAAATCCTGAAGTTCAAATGAAACATTCCGTTTATTTATTCATTCATTCATTCATTCATTCATTCCTTCATTCTATGAACTGTGGGGATGCCTGGTCTGGGATTACTATGATGCTGAGAAAAACCCACCTTGGAGAGCTTTCTTTCTTCAATAAATTAAGATGAAAAAGGGAGGGGGCCAGACACACGGCCAGGTTCATGGGCGTCATCTGGTTCTCTTCCACCAAGTTGACGACGTCGTTCAGGAAGCACAAGAGTGTCTGCAGGACCTCCCGGTTCTCGTCAGCCAACAGCAGGATGGCGGCCTGCACGGCCTGCAGCCGCTGCTCCTTGGGGACGTCTGAGGAAAAGTGGGTGGCTGGTCATTAGAGGAACAGTCACAGGAAGAGTCTGCGGGGAGAGGGTGTGCAGGCTCCACCTTCCTGACCTGGCGACACACTCGAGAGTCTTCAGTCACCACCACCAGAGCCGCAGCTAACAGCACAGAAAAGTTCCTGTGCAGGCCTCGTGGCTCGGGAGAGGCAGAGCTGAACCCCAGCCCCAGCAGCTGCATTCCAGAACCCACGGTCTGGATGACCAGGCGGGACTCAGAAAGGGGCACCGCCATCCTGGCAGTTCATACCCTGAGCGACAACCTGCTCGTCGGCTTTCTGACCTCTTCCTGTTCCGGCTGAGGTTGGCGACTGATCGGGGTTCTGTCAACCAGGCTTTCTTTCTGCCACCCTCCCTGCTGGACAGCGTGGGAAGCAGCTCTCAGGACGCCAGCCAGGCACAGTTAACCCTGAGTGGGGTGGAGCTGGCTGGTCCTCTGGCCTCACGCCTAAAGGGTCAGCTCCTCGAGGGGAGGTCTGGTACATCTTCCTCTTTCCTACTAGTCACCCAGGGTTTGGTTTGGAGGATGCATGCTGTTGAGTTCATATAGAGACCCAGTGTCACCTGTCGCGTCATCTTGGGGGTTACGGAAATTGAGGTTATGCCTGGGGAAGAGGAACCGTGCTCCCTAAGGTAATAGGCCCTTCTCAGTCCCGTTCCCCTTGAGGGTGGTGGCGGCGGGCATTGGTCACGCAGGCTTGAAGGGGAATTGGTCCCAACACTATGAGGTGAACTAAACGGAAAAATCACAGCAAATAGGTGTCAGGTGCTGCGTTTTGCTGCCCTCCCCCCACAGCGATGTTTATTTAATGATCGTTTAGTTCTGAGTCCCTGCCCTCAGCCCTCTCACTCTGAAAGAGGCAGTCAGGGGAGCTCACTTCGGTTAACATTGTTGTCTCTCTTAAAATGCCGTGTTCTGGGGCAGCGGTCTCCACAGTAGGGTGTCTGTACTTTCAACGGGTGTGGGAATCACTTGAGGTGTGGGAAGACAACAGTAGAACTTACAATTCTGTTTATGTTTTCTCTCATCCATTAAAGGTACAGACTGGCTGTGCTTTATGATGTGCACCGTGTATCACAGCATATCACAGTGTTTATATTGTTAGAAGTAAATATGCACTCAGGTATTTACTACTGGAGTGCATGACAAAGACATATTTGGAGCTTGCTGCTTCAGAGGGGCTTAGGTGTGACCTCCTGCCAGGGCCCTGGGTGGCCCGGGGTTTGTGGTCCTGTGGGCTGGCGATGTTGGGCTCTCTGTCCTTCCGCATTGTCATGTAGGAGGATCTGCCACCCCAGGGCTGGCCACACTCCTGGCCCTGGTCATTCAGCAACTCCGAATTCCTGGAAAAGTCTGACCATGCACCCGGCATTCTGAAACCTACCCACCCCCACCGTGTCCACTGTGTGCTGGCATAAGATACACCTGGGTTCACAGAGACGCGCCACTCTGTTAAAACTACAGGAAAACCATTTTCTTTTTTCTTGCTTGTGCTGAAGCAAAAACAGATACCACTAATGATTTGAAGCTTGTGAGAGGTGTTATAATTTCAGCTTGAGCCACTGGACTGTTTTAAAATATGCTGGTACAGGCAAGCTGTCTAGGGTGTATACATTGTTTAACTTTAGATTACTAAACGTCTCTTCCATGCCAACATCTTCCCCCATGCCATCATTTTTGAAGAGTCACCTGTCACCTCTATATATTGTTTCAATTTCCTTTCTATTCACTTGTTTTTTTATCGCTCAGAAAATACCTTCTGTCCATTTTTTTCTACTAAAAATGCTTGAAAAGGTCAATTATTCATCTCTAAATTGAGCATTTGTTTGGGATCCTGTCCTTTTTGACCTTTCTGCTACAAACCACACTGCTGTGGGTCCTGCTCCTCTCTTGGCTCTCAGGAGACTATTCTAGATCTGCATTTCTAAGTACTGAAAATTTTCAACTATGTGCATGGCTGTTGGCACCTCAAAGTCAGCCTTCTGTGGATTCTGAACACCTCTCTCTCCCCTGCCCCAGATCAGCTCCCTTCTCCCCATCACCTTCCACATTCTCTCTTTTTTTTTTTTTTTGAGACAGAGTCTTACTCTGTTGTCCTGGGTAGAGTGCAGTAGCATCATCATAGCTCACTGCAACCTCAAACTTCTAGGCTCAAGCAATCCTCCTGCCTCAGCCTCCCAAGTAGCTGGGTCTACAAGTGTGTGCCACGACGCCTGGTTAATTTTTCTATTTCCAGTAGAGATGGGGTCTCGCTCTTGCTCAGGCTGCTCTCAAACTCCTGTGCTCAAGCAATCCTCCTGCCTCAGCCTCCCAGAGTGCTAGGATTACAGGCGTGAGCCACTGCACCCGGGCTACCTTCCACATTCTCTCAGTCATCAAGCATTAAAATCTTACGGATGTCTTTGATCCCTCCATCCTTCTCCCTCCTGTGGACTGGTAGGCTTCAAATATTTTCATTACCCACCCATCACTCCATCTGAGTTTATCGTTCGATGAAAGCTCAAGAAGTGGCAGAGCTGACAACAGAAGTGCCCTGCAGTGCTGGAGGAGGAACGGTTCCCCTCCGCCCAGGAGCAGCTTGGAAACTTTGACTCTAGGGGCTTTCCACGAATATCTTATTTCCAGTCTCACTGCTGGAGATCACTGCAGGTAATCCAGAGCCTCAATTAGCGTGCTAACTCCCTGACCCTCTGTTCTCATCTGGTACGGTTCACCTCTAACAGCTTCCTGGGTCACGAGCACAGTGTTGACGGACCTGACCCTTGTGGCAGACACAAGGTTGGCCACCTACCCAATATCCACTCTCCCCGTCTTCCTCACTAAGAAAGCTCACGTTCTGTTCAGGTGTGGGCTGCAACGTACTCGGGGGAACGGGCCCCTCCCTGATACCCAGCAATGACCCATGCTGGCCTGAACCAAAAGTGATAATCATGTTCCTCTTTTCACAGTGGTTGGTTTAGGGGAGAAGTTGTAAATCATTTCTGGCCAAGGGCATCAAGAAAAAAGCTAGGAGCTTCTCCAAGATTTACCTCTCTGATAAAAAGAGGCATATGCCCAAGGAGATGTGCTTTCACTCTTTTCTTGCCTTTGAATGTGATTTTGTGAAGATGTCACGATCCTGAGTTGTGGCAGTCGTATTGTGACCACTGGGGGAAAGCCCGGAGAAGCTGATTTAGCCCTGGCATCTCTGAGCTGTGAAATTACTCGACTACAAAATAATTTAATTCCAGATTTCTTGTCATGTGAGATAATAAAATGTTTAAACAATAGTTTGTTGGATTTTTGGTTCTGTCTTTATAGCTGGGAGCATTGTAACAGGTAAGTCCCTCAGCAACACCTCAGGGTTCCCTAATACTTAATGAATCAAGTCTAAACTCCTTGTCCTAACACTCAAGGTCCTTCATTATATGGCCCCAGCCTAATTTTTCAGTGTCATTTGGTGTCACCTTGCACATTTACCGTACATGCAAGCCAGACGACCACCCTGCACTCTGCTGATCCATGCCCGTGTTACTTTCTTCCCCAGAACGTGCTCCTCACATATCTCACCTTCAGCTGTCACTTTCTCCACCAAGCCCTCATTGCTCATCTCAACTTCCTGGGACTCATCTTTGTAACGTTTTTTGGAATTTCTCCAACCTTGTTGTGTGGCAGTTACTTATGTCCATGCCTCATCTCTCTCAGTTGTAAGAACCTTAAGAGCAGAGAGTGAGTCTCACCCACCCATATGCTCTGCCACGCTCGGCACCGTGCCCCATACAGAAGCCGCACTCGATAAATGTTTGCTCAGCTAAAATAAAGCTCTGCTTTGATCTAGCTTCTTGCTTGTGAGTCTCAGAAAGGGCCAAAGGCATTTATCTCTTAGAAATCATCTGGCTTTAGCCCTAGACTAGTATCAACTGTAACCCAAGAACTGATTAAACTTCCAAACCATACTTCCAAGCCATAAGGGAGGCTTAATTGAAAAATGCAGTTCAATCTCTCGTGGCGACAACATGAACTCTGTGTTTGGGCTCTAGCAATGTATATCATTCATTTAACTTAACCTATTCACTTTGACAAAATAATATTTATTTAGTAGGTTGCCACTTTAATCTGTTTTTACAACTGGTACTGATTACGATCCTTTCTGAGTTTGAAATATTATAGACTCTTTAAACACATTTCGTACAGAATTCTCTAGAGCAGGGATCTTCTTCAAATTGGATCAATTCCATGTCAAGATCCATTTCAGGTATATTTTGCTGAAAACTCAGAGTCCATGGGCCAAATGTTTTTTCAAGAAATTGGGACCTAGGCCATCAAAATAATTCATAATCCTAACATTATTGTATCTAGAAAAGAATCATGTGTTTATTTCTAATATCCCCCATTGTAACTGCCTTTAGTAGGATATACTTAATTAACAATTGTTATTTTCAATGATTATTTCAATTTTATGGGCTTGCTGAGAACTACCGATTTAATATCACTTAAAAAATTCCAAGTGAAAATATAAATTATTTGGATTAAGCTTAAGCCTTTGGTTTGGTTACTTTTCACCAAGTAAAATACATTGTATTAAAATGTTCTCACTTTTTATTTCTAGTTATTTTAATAAATGTCACTTTGAATTTCCTATAGCCCAAGGAAATGCCTATTTTTTAAAAAATTAAATAAGTTTTAATAAATACGTGCATACAAAGCAACCTCTATTGTTCCCTTTTCATTTTAAATTTATTCTAAGTATTTTGAAAGTTCATTTTAGATCTTACACAAAACTCTATAGAGAAGGAATATTTTGATGTCAAAAAAGGTATTTTCAAATGCATAAAAATGGCCTGGAGGTTTCCATAACAAACTTCAAACAAAGGTTACTTCTGGAGAGGAGAGTAGGAGCATACACTTCTTTATGAATTCAAATATTATTCGTCTAATTAAAATGTAATCAGGAGGGAGTTATTTTTTGTGAAAGTGGACGAGGCTCGCGAGAACCCCCATCTCATGGTTTCCACTTACACTGGTAGATGTGGAGGAAGGTCTCGCTGAGCTTGCTGGTGAACAGAGGCTCAGGGAGGTCCCTGAAGAACTGCTTCACCATGTCGGCCACGTCGTAAGCGGACTGATCTTCGTAGCTGACGTTCTCAGGGAAGTTTTCGTTCATCTGGCGAAGGGCATGGATGCGAGACTTCACTCCCGACTTGCGAAAAAGACCCACCTGAAAGAAGCCACAGGGATGCATCAGCCAGGGCGCCTGTCCCTGACCCCTTGGGTGTGATGGGAAAGCAGGGCACCATGACGGGAATTGCCTCTCGGTTAGTACATTCTGGATTACCAGTGTAGCGACTGTCGGCAGTAGCCGAACACGAACATCTTCTATAAAACGAAGGTAAGAAAAATACCCACCTCCCAGGGCCATCATGGAGACTAAATGAGGAAATAGACATGAACGTGCTTTGTGACCTGTCAAGTCTTATAGCACCGTAGATGCTATTATTTTACCCTTTTATTCAGCAAGTGGTGATTAAACACCCACTGTGTACCAGGCATATTTAGAGTTGCTAGGAGTCACAGACAAAATCCCCTGCCCTCTAGCGTTTATACTTCCGTGGGGATTTTCAGAAAGCCGGTCAACGGGAGGTTTGGTGGAAATAAGTGAGTGGCGGACGCAGGGATCCCACCTAGGCAGCCACATCCTGTGCCCCTTTAGGGGAGGGTTTATGGGGAATATGTTCATGAAACAAAATAATATCGTAAGCATGTGTTTTGATTTAAGGGTCTTATTTGCTTTCCCTTCTTTGGAATCCTTGTCACTCACCAGCATGTTTCTCATATTGTGCCTGGCACTTGCTACTCTACCTGGTTCGTTATCGTGTGTATAATCTTTGGCTCTAGTGAGAATGATTTCTGGGTGGCTTTTTTTCAGACTTCAAGATAATGTCACAGCTTGCCCTTTCATCCTAGGGCTTAGGCTCCTCCCCTGCCTGAAAGGTAAATGGGGGCCGATAAGGCACCCAAGAGAATTAAGCTCTAGGCCCTCTCGAGGCCCCTCCCACTCTGGATTTGCCTCTATCTAAAGAACTGAGCTTTTCTGGGAGCCCTGGTTTATAGTGGAATAATACGTCTGCTATTTGTTAGATGCCTGTAAGGCATGGAGTTGCTCAAAACTCTCTCCTTCAACCCTCAGTTTCCACTGCTCTCATTCCTGGTGGCTCACCGGTCAGCCCGCTTCTGCAAAGCAAGGTGGGACCTTCTGAGGGGTCCAACAGGACCCCTGCTAGAACGGCCACTGCTCTTCCTCCCTATACCTGGATACATGCATGAGCGTTGGTCATCTCGTCAGCCACTCTGTGTGCCCAGCTGGCCTCCACTCGAGTTCAGGTGTCTGAGGAGGCTCTCTTGATTGTTGCTACCAATGGACAGCAGCCCTAATTCTTTTACACTGCAGTAACAGCAAGGGAAGAATTCCAAGCCATTGGAGAACACTCAGGTTTTTGCATGTCAGCTGCACGGATCACCAGGGAAATTACTCACTGCTACTTTTTGTGGCCGTAAAAACAGAATTCTTAGTCATACGTCTTTGCACTCCAAAGCTTATTACCCTAATCTCACCAATCAGGATATTCAGATGTATTGTCACTTAAAACGTTAATTATCTCCTTTTTTATTCTTAAAGTTTACAATGTCTAGAAAATACAAAACTTTGCCATACTTAGAGGACTTGCCATGAAGAATCTAAAGAACAATTTACCTTCCTTTATCTGGCAACTACTTCAAATTTCATCAAAGTGCGTGGGAAGAAAGCATTTACTGTCAAAAAGAAAAAAAAAAGAATTCAAGATATCAAATGAGTGATTATTGAAGTGAGATCCACCTTCAATTTGTTTATATCCTCAACTTCTCTAATTCTGGAAGGAGGCCCAGAACTGTACACACCACAAGGCTGGGCTGCACAGGAGTTCTCAGAAGCTAAATGCCCCGAAGGTGAATTCTTACATGTGACTCACAAATATTTATCCTCACGTGAGTCGGTATTATTCCATTAGGGAAGAATTCCTATTTTTTTTTAACAGCAGAGAAATATTGATTGGGATCTATAAAAAGAATAAAGTAGACAGTGTTTGTGTTTAAATTGTTGAGCACATTCCTCTTTTGCCTACTGTGTCTTGCGGGCTGTTCCCGGATACACACTGATGTGCATGCAGACACACATCCCGGCGATGCTATCTTTGTATTGTTCAATTTCCAAGTTTCTTTCTCGTTTCAGCAAATATTGTTATTTTAATTATTTTAGACATGTCTGGAGCTTTCCAGCTGTGGTCTCTGAGCTGCTTGTTCTGACTCAGATCTCAAGATGTCCAGAGGGTTGTCAGGGATTTATTTGTTCTCTCTCAAATTCTGACGATAACCTTCCCACCCCACCCTTATCTTCCAGGGGATGTGGGAAATATCTGTGGGTTTTGTGGATTTTTGTTGGAAGCTCAGAAGGAAATTTGTTTCCTAAACCTAATAAAGAAAAGGTGGTCTCAAATCAGATCAGATTCCAGAAGTAGTAGCTGAGAATGGCAGAGGGGAAAGATGGAAAGCACCCTGGTCTTCAAAGATAACAATGAGCTGATGAAGGGACTAACTCTGGAACCATCCTGACTTTTTGTTATTGTTAACGTGAGATCATGAATTTCCTATTGTTTAAGCCATTTTTGGCTGGGGCTTCTATTGGTTGCTGCGGAAAGCCCCAGGACACAGTAAGTAGAAGGTCCTTCCAATGGCCTAGCGGTCCTGAGACCAGAGGAGAGCTTCCTCTGTCTGTCCTCCTAGAGCAACACTGGGTGATGGCACAAGGGATTGCCAGTAATTATTTCTTCTTCAACAACTTTCCAAAGCAAGGGTAAAATCTGCATTTTTGACTAGAGTTTTTTCCCAAGTAAAACATGGAGAACTGAAGAAATCATTGCTTTTCCTTCTTGTCACAGCTGATGGGAAGCAGCCCCAGACCCCTCAGCTGCATTACGAGGAAGACGCCAGGAGGGCAAAATGTCTTTAATTTGCCTCTGTATCTGTCACCCATGAGTGGGTGGCCTGGGCAGTGACATAGGGCCCCACACTTGGTTTAATGTGCTGCTGTCCCCATTTTGAAATTCTCAATAATTTATTAATATGAACAAGAGATCCCAAATTTTCATTCTGTACTGAGTTCTGCCAACTACGCGGCCTGGATACGCTGTCTAGAAAGGAGAGAACGGCCGTCAGCAACACAGAGTTCATTGGAAGCATCTCTCTTGCCTGTGATTTCTCTTTTCCTTTTAACACACTGACTGCCACACTAGAAAAAAATTGTTTTCCTTGGGGCCACGGTGTTTTATTACAAAAACAGAATAAAACTTCGAAAACAAAAGGATCCTTTCTAATTTAATGAAAAAAATTGTTATTTTTTATTGTTTTCTGTGCGTGAGTTATATGCAACTTGAAAAACAGTTCACGTGGCCCCCAAGGTGAAGAGATGTGTGAGTTACATATGCTTCACAGGGCCCCGGGCTCAAAATCAGCGTGAGTTAAATGCAACTCACATGGCAGTTAACGTGTTAAAAGTAAAAGGATGAGTGATGAGTGTTCCCTTGGTCCAGTTTCCCTGTCCTCTCTCTTTTGTCTTCCACTGAAAAACCCAGCTATGAAAAAGTGAGGACTTGCGGTATGATTTAAACGGATGAGCCCAGAGCATCACTGTTTCTGAGGTGGGCACCAGGCCAAATAATGAGCAGGCAGAGGGGCAGGGGACACTTGTAGTGAGGATGAAGTGTCTTCCCAGCATAATTACGCTTTTAAAGCTTACTGTTCTATGAGGGGGAGAGGTTGAGCATGAGTGCTGCATTAGAATTCAAATTTCATCGAAATAATATTAAATCTCCTCCTTGGCATCCTGTTTATGCTAATTCTTTTGGACTTAATGATGTTTATCAGGACTTACATTTCCTCTTCTTTAGAAGTGTGCTCAGCTAATGAAGAAAGGTTGGTTTTGTTCCGAAAGAGAAAGATTCATAGGAAGCGCATGCAGTGGGTTGCAGGTTTAGCCACTCACTGCAGCCACTTCATATTCATCAGGCCCTGGGTATAACCTAGCCTCTGTGCACAGCTGATTTAGAGCAGAAATAAAAGCTCAAACAACAAAGCAAGGCTCCTCTCCTACATTACTATGTCTGAATACAAATGGTTCATAATTGAAGGCTAAAATTCCTCATTTCATCCGCAGCCAGCTGCAAGGGATGCAATAGATACTCTGTGCTGGGCCGTATGCAAGCATCGTGTATGTCATAAAAGTGTTTCAGCCCTTGGAGCTGGGTTCCACTGTTTGAGTGCTTATGCTCAGTATGCGGGGAACAGGACCAACGCACTGCAGGAAGCCTCCTCCCTGGTCCAGTGTGGCTTAGAGGGAGGATGCTTGGAGGCGTGCTGGTCCTCTGTGACTCTGAGGCTGTGATCTCAGGGCCCAGTGTAGACCTTTCTCTTTCCAACCCGAGGAGGTGCTGTTGGTGAGGAAAGAGAGTTCGTTTTGGGCTGATTTCCTTTTCACTCTCACTTCACTCTCTTTCGGATTCGCTCACTTTCATTTGCTCTTCCTTGCTCCTAAATCTCTGGGACGCTCTTCCTCCTGAGCCAGGTGTTCTCTGATTCTTCTTTATGTTTTTCCAGTTTTCCCATGTTCCCTTCCCATTACCACCCTCCTTTCTCATGGGGGCTGGGGGTGGCCTCTGCGAGCTTCCCACGCTGTGTGACAAGGAAAGGGAGGGACACACAAGGCGGGAAGCCCTGCCAGGGCCCGGTGCTTCATAAAAGAGTGACTGGCTGCAGTGACAGTCCCTTTGACGCCCTGCAGATTCTTACTGTGAGTGACACAAGAGAAGCATGGCTTTATCCATTTTGGTTACATTTAGAATCAGTATTTATGTCCTTGAAATCAGTCTTTTTCCTACAAAGCTCTGCCAGCACTGTTTTTCAGCATGGTATTCTTCCTCTAGATTTAAAAAATAGACTTGACGCGGACGCTGGGAATAAGGCAGTGAGCAGGGATGGAGGGGGTTCTGGTGCCACTGTCCCTCTCTCTATGTGTGGGACTTTGCTTCAGAAGGGAGACTGGCCCCAGCAACAGCAGTGATACTGCTGCTACACAGTATTCAGAATCTACGGGAGGCGGGATTGGTTTACATTCTATGCTAAAGATTCGGTGGTGAGTGGAACGGCGGTATTACAATTCATTTATTTATGCCCAACCTTGTTCAAGAAAGAATTCGAGTGACTTACAATAACCTATAAAATACAATAAGATATAATTAAATTAAAGATAATAGATAAGAAAATCACAGCAAAAGGAAAATAAAGATAGGAAAGGGAAGCTGAAACTAGGGGTGAGGTCGACGCAGAAAATTCATGCCAAAAAATTACACATTTTTACTACGGGCAGAATACATAGTAATTTGACTCCAAGCTTTCTAGCAGCCAACACAGAGAGGAAAACACTCCCAAGTGAATGAATTTAGTGTCCATAATATTAAAAAACAGACTAGTTGTCCAAAAGAAACACAATGCTTTCGGATGCTGAGGCCAGAAAAAAAATTCTCCCTCCCATTTTCACTGTATGTGACATAAACGACCAAACAGTCTGACAGTGAATCACCAACGAGTTGTGTGGGGCCACTTCTTAAAGTATCCCTCAGCGCTGGAACCGGCATCACCCCGAAGTCCGCTGGGGAAGAGCAAGTAAGGAGCAGCCGTAGGGTGCAGTGGTTAGAAACCTGAACTCTGGAGTTAGACAGATTTGCAAGCAAGTGTTGGCTCCACCATCATGAGCTGGGCATCACACCACCCAGGGTGGGCGTGGGATCAAGTGAGGCAGTGAACACAGAACACTTAGTACGAGTGCTTGAAACATGCGAGGGAGTCCAGAGAGGTTATTGGTATTGAGCTAATGGCGTAGATAGACTGCATTTTCTTTAAGCATTCCCGAACAAACACTGTTTTCGCCTAATGGAGCTTTTGCTGATAAGCATCAGCTGGCTTGGCTTTTGGAGCAAAACATTCTCTGTGCTTGGTAAAGGGCTTTTAGAGAGCCAAGAGGGAGGTGAGTCTGATACATACCCTTACAGAAACTGAGAAGCCTGGAAAAACATGTGTTTGAATAAGAAGCAACTCTCCATAAAACACAATCTTGGGTCTGGACCAATAAACCAACAAAAGTACAATTGAGGCCATGACGTAGATGCCAAAGGGCATGGCTGCAATACTTTTAGCATTGGAAAAGAGATTAGATTGGCCATTCCCAAATATTCACCAGCATCTACCTCTTCAAAAATTTTTCTCAGTAAAACACTTATAAAATCTACTTTGAATAAGGTATGGTTTTGGTGAAGCCTCTAAAATTAAAAAAAAAAATCAAAATTTATGCTTAAGTAACCAGATTCAGTGAATTACTCTATTGGGACATGATTCACATGTCAATTACTGTTGGGACATCTGCCCAAGAAAAGCTCCCTAGAAAAGTAGTTTGTCGCCCTTATTTCTGAGAAATAAGAGGCAAGCTATTAAGGCCATTTCTCAAAACAAAATGGCCATCATCACAACAACAGTGACAGCAGCCACCCCACCCTCTCCTATGACATCTAAAAATGGAAAAATGTATACTTTTATATTCTCTAAATTAGAAGGGGGAGGGGACAAAGGGGCTCATGCACTGGATTTCATCAGAGATGGTTTCAAATGAAGTAACTCCTGTTTTGCTCCACTGAGAACTAGTATCTGATTCATCAAGAGACCAGCCTGACTTTAAGTGAGATCTCAGTATTGGGGTCTCTACAAGCATCGGCAACCAGGATCTTTGAGTTCATGTAACTTAGCTCTTCCCTGTCTACTGAGCCCAGGGTAAATCAATAAAAAGTGCAAATAATCTTAGGTTGGTACAGATTTCTGCATGGCATTAAAGAGTATGATGGACAAAGCCTATTACAGAATAGTTGCCTGAAAACATCCCCACTATTCAAGGTTGCAATTTATAAATTAGGAACCTGGCTGTTACTTCGGACAGAATATCTAAGAAACTAATGGGTGCTACTATGGAGGAACAAAGGCTTTGCTTTGTAAATTACAAGATGGGCTGCGCTCTAGACTTAATCACAGTCCACCATTATGGTGGTCTCCAAAGAGTCCTGGAGGCAGAAAATGATCTCTGAATATTTTGTTTAGTTTGAATTTTTAATCAACCCTATAAAAGGAGAGGATATTTGATTTAGCTGATACTGTTTTCATTGTTTACTTGCACATTTTAAAAAGATGTGAAAAGAAGCCTATCTTTGGTTTAAGTTTTACTGGTCTTGGTGCCACTTCAAAAAAAAAAAAAACTGATGAAGGGAGACATGAAAACCTAATTCTGTTTTCAAAAGTAGTATAACAGGGATAAAAGAATGCTGTGAAATCAACGGTGACATTGGAACAATAATTAAAAAGGAAATGCAGTACCTAGCTTAACTCCAGTTTCTAGGGAATGCAAATTAGACATCACAGGAACAAATTATTAACGTTAACTTTCTGCAGTCACTCTAGGGTGTCATTTCAGTTGCCAGTGAGGAAATAGCCTCAAATAGCTTCACAAGGATGTAGCCTGTTCAAATTAAATATTGCCAGATAAAGGGTCACGATGCCTTCTTTTTTTTTTTTTTGTGAGGCATGTCTTGCCTGATTCTGGACAGATCTGACTCACTCTGGCACTCCATTCATCCAAGCCTGCACTGGGGATTTTCAGCCTTACCTGATCCAGGCAGTTGCTACGTAGATATCTCAGTGCTTGCTGAATACTCTGCGGCAGGGGCTGTCCCGTTCTCTGGACGTGGACTATGAGAGGAACGCCAAAGACAGCCTTGTCTTTGTAATCAGGAACTTTCATCCTCTTCATGAACTTTGGAACTGACCTAGAATTCACAGAAACCAGGTCATGCAAGCCCCTTGGGGCACCGTGCGGGGAGGGGCCGCGGACATAAGCGAGAGGGAAGCCAGGCTTTTGTTTGAATACCTGAGGCACAGGGGGAATTCAACATTCTCTCTAAAGTAATCACATTACGTGGCACTGCTACGTGGGGCCTTGTCTATGTGTTATCTGTAACTACCAACCAGCATGAGTCACGTTAGCAGAATGGATTTGTAGCTCTGTTTTCAAGTAAGTGGATAACCTTCCAATTTAATTGTGACTGACAAATCTCTCAAGTGACGAACACTTAAAATCCCCAACAAAACAAAACAAATTTAAAAATTACAAGAGGAAGAAGAAATCTGGTTGGGGTTGGGGGAGAAAGAAGAAGAGATAAGATGGACCATATTTTTTGGCCATATCCTTACTTTTCTAGATATGTAAGTGCCAGTTGGATTTTTTAAAGGGAATTTTAATACACAAGCATATATTGATTTGACCATGCAGTTAATAACCTTCTAAAATATTTTTATAAAAGCACCATCTATTTTTCTATATACACAATATATAACATCGGACAATTACTGACACATTTTGCATTTTTTCAAATCTATCAACTCATCTAAAATGGGTCCATGTTCAAGTTTTAACGTATGCTTTTGTCAATTCCTTATTACAAAGGTTTATTGCATATTCTTGTTTTTATTTGCCAGTGAAATAAAAGCAGAAACGAATTTGAAGAATTAAATGCCCTTTGAACGAATTAATGCTCTAAGTGGTGAGCTCTGCATCGGGCCAGAAGGTATAAGTGACAGATGTTTCTTTGCAAACTGCCAGAATTATTTTATGGCAAGTTTATTTTTATTCGCTCTGTTCACAATTAATCACCGTTTACTTGCCTTTTCTTTCTTTCTTGGAACCTGACTCCCTTCCCTGGAAACCAGCTGAGAGCTACAAATAAAGCAATGCTTCCCGCGGCCTCGCTCGCATCTGGGCAGCGGCAGAGCTGCACACATCACGCCCAGATCGCCAGCCAAGGCAACGAAGGGGCTCTTCAGAAATCAGCAAGCAAACGCTGAAGCTTTTGCATTCGCACCCTTAGCTCTAGAACCAAGGATGCC